GGGGGTTTTATAATCAGAACCCGCCATTATTAGATATTATGGCAAAAACCTTTAGGCGGGTCTCAAGTGGCAGTGCGTGGCTCATCTACCGTTTTTTCAAGGCTTGTTTCTATGCCGATTTGAATTGCGTTGAGGTGCAAAGTTGGATCGACACCGCACACTCATGCCACGTACCTAGAGAGCCTGCACAGAACGAACAACGACCGTCCAGCCAGATCTTGCTGCCACCTTGAAGCATGAATTCTATTCAGCAGTTAAGAGCCTTCACACGTAGCTGTCCAATCCCGGATTCGCAGCCGCAGCCAGATCTCACCCAATCTTCATTTTTTCACTGAACATACAGGCTTCGGCGCTTCGGGTTTTGCTATTTGTCTTGGGAAGGCTTGGAGCAAAACTGGAGCCCACACTCTGAGAGCAGTGTCGGGTCTGGGTGAACATCTCAGGCTCCCTAGAAAGACTCAAAACCGTGCACCCTGAAGGCCTCAACTTGATGCAAAACAGCATACGCAGGACAAATGCATTTAGAACCTGTACTGACGGAGATAAAGCCTCACTTACGACTGCCTATTAATCCCATGAACCTCCACGTTAGATCTGAATTCCTTGAGCAGCTTTAGTAGTTGGCAGCCTCGCCCTTGCTCTGGCGACTGTTGACCTCAAAATGTGAGGCTGGAGCTCGGCATACAAACGTTTCTCCGACAAGAAGGTTTGACGTCATGCGTTCAAGGGATCTGTAGTAATTATGTGGGATCGGAACGGCACAACCCAGAACGTAATCTCCTGTCACCAAATTCTTCCTCATGACTTAGAACTTGAGAGCTTGACATTTGGGGGAGTGAATCGAGTCAGGGAATGAGTCACAATCCTTCACCAGAACATGGATCAGTTGACCCAAAAACCGTACAATAATAACCTGGCCAACGTAGCGCACCTCGGACACACACACACACAGAGAATCAGTGGGTCGAACAACATGTGCAACCACTGGACCGGAATGCTTGCGCGACTCCTTGTTCGGCCTCATGCGAGGTGTACGAGAATACCACAGCTAAGTCATCAAGATGGTGGTAACCTGCCGTCCCAGCACAGAGGATGGTTTGACCATGAGCCCCTGCAACAGGAATACACATGTGGAAAGCAATACATGATGCCTTGGACTTCCGGCACAAGGCTCACGTGCTGGAAGTTTTGCAAGCTGCACCCGTGATGCCTCTACTGCCTATACCCAAACATCCGACAACTGGGTAACTGCTCTTGAGAACATTTGTTTACAGTCTTTTCTCAAGCCTCATGACTTGACACAATGGCATTTTCCCCCGGGTGCTTTAATTTGGGCCATTTACACTCCGCAGACTGCCAGGAACTGGCTTCTTTTATCGGATGTCTCTTCCTTCAAGGAACCGGCTTCTTTCGCTTGATCTGTCATGGGAGACGCTTGCAAACCATCTGCCATACGGCACATCTTCAAACACGTCCGAAATCTCGCCAGGCAATGCTGCCTCGGATGCTGGGGAAGCTCCGGCCCTGCTCCTCCGAAGTATGTGAACGCGGGGTATGTTTTCAGATGCGATGGTGGGCTTGCCGCTGCGTCGGCGAACTATGAGACTGCGGGGCGGGTCTGCATCCAGACTCTTGTGCTCGCCGACATCCACCGCCATATCGAACCCTTTCTCAGTTTGTGTACATTTGTCCGCTGTTCTGGCAGCCAGGAGGCTCAGAGCACCCGATTTGTGCAGACTGAGGATTTCGTCCATTACCCCGAGTTCTTCAATGTGATTGAGAATCTCTTCTGCTGACCTGAGAGCCTGGAGACTACGATTGGCCGGTATGTAGCGACTGGCGACCTCATGCAGTAGCCCAAGCTCTTGGATGTGGTCTAGAATCTCAATCGCAAGATCCTTGGCAGGCTTGAAGAGGCATATACCGTCTTCATCCGTCCGAAGCCCTTCGATTACAATGCGGCTATGCCCGAAGACCATTTTGCACAAGTCTTTTCCCTCTTGACCTGGAGGTGAGGGCGGCCACTTTTTGCACATCTTCACTGGAATGAGGGTGATTTCCTGCCAATTCTCCATCGCATGCCTGAGTTCGGAATACGTCTCATATACGCCCCTGGTCTTTTCTCCATAGTCTGCTGTGCAGAATGCCACCATTATCACTGCCCCAGCCAGACCGCGCATGGTCTCTGGCCCGAAATCACGCCTGGTGTTCACCATGAAAGTTCGGACTCCTCTGCTTCGAAGCTCGTTCTCGACCGACCGAAAATACTTGACTTTGTCCTGGCAGTTTGCATCCAAAAGCTGCTTTATACCCAAACAGATAATGTCATAGAAGCTTCTCCAGGCAACTCAAACATGAGCTAGTTAATCGAGCTATCTATCATGCTTCAGCTGCCTAGCTTACTTACTCATCAGGTTGCTGCTTCATTCAAGACTAGCCAGCCGCTCCTGATCCTTGAAGCGCAGCGACAGCATAACATGATCTCGATGGAGAACATGAGCCTGTGCCTCATCGTCATCGTCAGATAGGCGTGGCTCCGATGAGCGTACTGTGATCGGCATGTGAGGAAACCCTACACTCAATCTACAGGATGACATCTGTCCAAACCATGGGGTTGCATTCTGCAACTGATGCCTGCACACTGCAACAGCTAATGTGGGTTTGCGATCCATGAAATAAGGAGGCCGTCATTTTAGTGCCCCAAGCTTGCTGCACACAGCCCCCTATGTCACAGTGGCATGGCTCGAACCACATGCAGGCAGTGACATATCATACAGCAAGCTCAAACCATGACTTCGACTCCAAACGTAACATGCATAACATCAGCAGCATGCAGCTTTCGAAAAATAAGCACAATACACAAGGCAATATGTAGAAATAGCCCGCATACATGAGACTAGTGCCTTCTTAGAAGGACGGGCTTTCGTGCTGGTTGTGGGGAGGGCAAGTCCCCCAGCCAATGGTTAAAGCTGAAGACCTAAAGCCACTGACCCCTTGAAAAGCAGCCCACTAAGGTAACTTAAGGCGACCCTCCTACAGAAACCCGATTAATCCTTCAAATGGCACCCATAATCCCTTACGGGTCCAAGGACCCAACTAATAGGGTTTTAGGGCCCAAGTACTGTAACATTAATGGTATTTGGGCCCTTAAACCCTTTTTTCGGTCCTTGGACCCTTAGGGTATGGTGACTTCCACTTTATTTAAGGGATCCTTCAAACCTGAGACGCTCAACCTTGAACCCAAAACCCTCACACCCCACACCCTGAACCCTAAGCCCTTAACCCTAAACTCTAAACCCTCACGCCTCAAAAACCCAAACCCTCAACCCTCACGCCCAAAACTTTCACACCCCAAACCCTTATACCCCTAAACCCTAAGCCCTAACCCCTGAATCTCTAAACCCTAACCCTAAATCCTCAACCCCAAACCATAAATCCTAAACCCTAAACCCTAAATCCTAAACCCTAAATCCTAAACCCTAAACGCTAAATCCTAAACCCAGAGCTGAGCCCCGAGACTCTGGAGCGAGCGCAGCGATGCAAGCTCAAACCCGATGGCTGAACCCGGCGCCAAAGAACCCATCTGAATAGTGTTTTTTTGGTGGTTGAACCAGGGTTTACGGGTTTAGGGTTTAGGGGTTTAGGGTTTAGGATTTTTTTGGGTGGTTGAACCTAGTAAGATAATATTCTTTATATAGAATACTATACCCAAAAAGGAGGATAGAATCTTACTCTATAATGGGTACCATAGTATCCCCAAACAAGATACTGCTCATCTGAGTGCTTAGGGTTTAGTAGGGTGTAGGAGTTAGGGTCTAGGGTTTAGGATTTAGGGTTCAGGGTTTACGATTTTGGGGGGTTGCGGTGTAAACGCGTAGGATTTAGGGTTTAGGGCTTAGGGTCATAAATGCTTACAGTTGATGGAAAATCAGATGGAAATGGGCATGGAAATCGACGTGGAAACTGGGTTTGTATAGGGTTCTGTGCGGGTTATGTATTGTAGGGCATACAACCTGCTTACCAACATCAAGTTATGGTCTATTATATAAGGCTGCTATTAGCATACCATTGGTAAATTCTTATGCCACTACACTAACGTTTGCTGATTGCTGGTGATGTAGCCAGATGAGATACTGCTTTACAGGTGTTATACTGATAATATGGGAGCTGCATTGGGGTATATAGGGTTTAGGGTTGAGAGATTAAAGTTTTTGTTTTCGGTTGAACCAAGTAAGATGTTGTTCCTCATATACTGCTGCATCCATGGCCCAAAACGGGGTAGAAGCGTGCTCTACATCGAGGACTATAGTATCTCCAACAAAACTGCTACTCATCTGAGCTTAAAGGATGTGTGGAGAAGGGGCAGGGGGAACGCGGCGTTTGGGATGTCGGTCTAGACATCTAAACATTTAAAGGCTGTGTTTCATGTTTCCGGACGTAGGTTCTGGGGTTCAGGGGTTCGGGTTTGTGTAGGTGTTGGTGTTAAGGTGTTGGGATCAAGCCGTTGAGATTGTCCCCGCATTGGAGTCTTATAAGTTTCACGAGCCTTTAGTGTTGGATCCTGATTCATGTGTCCCGCCCCAAACAAAAAGGGTGGCGTCTCTCCTACAAGGTTTTCAAAACGAATTGGGGGTGTCTGGGGGATCCTATGGCTCCCATTTAAATCAATACAGGGCGGGAAATCCTTCGATTGCGCAATTTAGCTTTGAAGAGGATAATTGAGAAGGGCAGGGTCCTCAGCAATAGAGTTGGGCCTTAACGTTTAAAGGCCTAGCCTTTAAGAACAATGAAATTCAGTTACAATATGTCTTAAATCATTGAAAATATGTTTATAAGATCAAAGACCAAATTCTACAACCGAGTTGACCATCACTGAACGTCAATTTCCAATCAGCTTCACAACTTTTCACAACAAATCTACATGGTATCACAGTCAATCCAACCGGAAAACGATCACATAATTGACTCCCGCCAACCTTTTATACAATTGCAAGATCAGGGGATGTGCTGGACTACCCCTTCTGGAATTGCAAAGCCTTCTCGAACAATCAGTTTAATCAGAAATCCATTGCTATTGGTGGCGTCTGCTTCCAGGTTCCAATGGTAATAGAGCCACGCCTTCATAGTTAAAGCCCTGGCTTTAAAGCAACATTTTGGCCTCATCAAAAATCTTACAACGATTTTTCTTCGGCAAACAAACCTCTACTAGTTGGCACCACCCCAATAGAATACGGAGTTCTGACTACTTTTCTGAAAGGTTTACTTCATCGCCCCCCCCCCCCCCCCCACACTGATGACCATACAACACTACGGGCCTTGTGGGATTTAGGATTGTTCTATGTCAGCCTTAGATATTGGTTTAACGGATTTACCGCATCATCATGCTAAAGAAGGCTCGAGCACAGACTGTCCCTCGCCAATGAGGGAGCCCCGCTCGCCTTGCAAACACATCTAGACACTTTTCATTTGTCCACTGTAGCCGGTTGGCCATTGGTTTTCAGTCTTGCGCGTGCTAGTACTTACAGTAAGAAAATACTTTCGCTATCGCCGCTGCCGACCAAACAGCGGCGCCTGGAATGGCATGGCTTCAGATGCGGCGCCGACTGACGTTCCTTTCCCTGAGATAGCTCAGCAACCGGAGCTCGCCGGCACTTTGTTAAGGGCAGAGCACTTTTTAGGACCTGATCTACGCCTCCAAGCTATGACTGACGATACTTTCTGTCTGGTTACCAGTGCAGCTACCGCAGTTGTAGATCGCACTACATACGACTCCCTGCTAGCAAATCATCAGGCAAAATCGGCAGCTTCTATCTCTTCAGGAGTAACTGGATTACGCTCCCACCTCAGTATCAAAACAGAAGAGGAGATTGAGTGGGGGGAGAGAGACACCCAATTAGCCCAAAAACTCAAGTCAGATCCGGAGGCCTTAAGAGCGTACAAAACTATCAAACAACCAACCAAGCAAGCCCGCCTTGATCCTGTAGCAGGCAAATTTGCCCTGATTCCCCAGACCGAACCGGTAAATACCTCCTGGGCTAATATTGCAGCAGTTACCACGGAGAATCTTCAAGACTCCCTAGAGACCTACCACAACACCCAGGTGGCCCCTGCCCTTAGGCAGTTGAATGACCTCATGCGCTTGGACATTACCAACAAAATCTCCTCTCTCCAAACTTCAGGATTGGTCTCCAAGGTCTCAGTGCAGGCAGTTGAAGCTGAGCTCCATAAGCGCACAGTCATCATACATGGGGTTCCCCCATTTTCCAACAAGAAGTCAATTGATGATAACCTTTACTACCTCCCTTATGACACAGACCTCTCCATGGATGACATCCAGTCGGTCTCTAATCACTTGTTGACAACTACCTCAGGGTTTTTGAAGGTTACCTTTCATAGGGAGCAGCAAAGCAAAATCTTCTTTACCTCCTTCAGATCTAAGAAGAGATATTTTAGGACCAAGGACCCCAACAGTTACACCCCTGACTCCCCAATCAAGATTGAAAGGGACCTGTCAATTCTGGAAAGGCTGGAGAGACAGCCGGTCCTTGCTCTCCTGGACTGCTACACCAAAGGCACCACAGAGGCCCAAACCTCCCCCCTCTACACAGAATACATGAAGTCAGACTTCAATGCTCTCCAGATTTGGTCCCCAGATGGGGAGGATCTGGTATCCCAGGTGTTGTATATTCCCCAAGGCTCCACATACGTATGTCAGCTAGCTATTCAACCTCAGCATAGGGAACTTGTGATCCAACTGTTTCCAAAATTTTTTCAAAAAAAGAATGCTACAGACCCTTAGATTCCTGCAAGCGTATGTAAGCGCCTCCAGACACAATACCACTACTGCTCGCTTCCACTATAGCCAAACTCAGGATGTGCCCAATGTCTCCCCGTCCCAAGCAGTTGCTTTTTTCCCATATGATATTTGCCCGCTAGATCTTGACCCCAGCTCGCTCCAAACTCTACGTGCCCCATCAAATCTCCTTACTTCCTACTCAGGACTCCAGCCTATGATTCAACAAGCTATGGAAGACCACTTTATTGACCCTGAAAATTACAGTAAAGGTGCAAAAGTAAAGGCTACTGAGGGCTCGCCTGATCACCCAAGAAAGGGAGGTAAGTGTAGAGGTAGAGGTAAAGGACATGAGGGCAAGACCCAAGGTAGGTGGTTCTCCCAAGAAGGTGAAGGCAAGCATCATTCTAACTCTCAAGGCTCAGGAAAGGGATATGGTTCTTCACAAGCCTCCTGGCGGCAACCCCAAGACACTCCCAATTCTTGGGCAAAGTCCAAAGCCAAGGAGACGACATGACCCTCCAAAGGAGACAGGACAAGACCTGCTCCAAACCGACGCCTGGACAATTCAGATCCTGCCCTTACCCCCTGCTCCACCTGTATGGCGCTTTTGGGCACAAACTCTGATTGTATGGATTGTCAAAACAGTGACAACCTCAAAGCACATTGCTCTATCTCACT